CTCCCTGTACTGGTTTGTAGCAGCTGGTGTTGTAGAGAGTGGGGCAGAGATCTGCCTCACATGTAGATAAATACGAGTTAGAAAATGTGTGGCCAAGCAAGGCAATGTCTTTGAATTCCTTGGTGGGTCTGATTCAGATGAATACAAGCCCCAAATCAGGAAACCAGTAAGAAGATGAAAAGTTTCCTGTGCCAGGTTTGAAAACATTCCTGTCAATCAAACAGATAAGGAATGAATTCCCCAAGCCCACCTTGCAGCCACCTTCACACGTTCTCTTCCCTACCTCTTCATCTTTGCTAGCATTGGCTCAGTCCCCTCCTGCTTTGCTTTTATGCTATTATGGTGTGGGAGGGTCTGTTCATCCTAGCCACACTGATGAATGATCCCGTGAGTATGGCTTAGAAGCACAGACTCAGCCACAATCACGCTAGATGTTCCTTCATGTGACATCTGGACACCTAGTAAACTCTCTTCATGAGTGATAATTGGTTACTTACTTAGTGAAGATTTCCTTTGAAGGACAGTATAGTTCATCTTTTTATTTCTGGGTGATGCTATCATAGAAAAAAATATAGCCTCAAATTCCAGATGACACATGTGATAATGTCCGCATGAATTCCTACCAGACTAATATGCCTAATGATATGGCCAGACAGACAGAGCGTACATATCCAGACACCTAGGATCCGAGCCAAGGCAGACACCTCATGTCCATTAGGATGCAGAAGAAGAGCTGTGATGGTATGGTACTGACAGTGTTCTGTCTACCCAGAGAACTTAAATGCAGACTTGGTGGTCCTGTCATCCCTAACACAGTATATAAGAGTCCACAATCAGACCTTGGAGTCAGAGTATCCTGAGACTGAAAATACACAGAGGCTGGGAAGGAATCCAGATGGTGTGAGTACAGAGGTTGAAAGTGGAAGTTTTGTGGGTGGCAAGACCAGTTCTTGACCTGAGCTTTTGTAGAGGTGTGGCCCATTCCACTCTCTCTAGCCCGTCCCATACTCACAAACACACCCTCTGACTGATACAGAGTCTGGGAAGATCTTCTTCAACTTTTTCCCTATTAAAACAGAATGCTAAGTCTTCATCCCTGTCCCCTACCATTTCCTGATGCTTACCCTCATTTTTCTAGCTGGACACACCATCCTACGGCTGTCATCTCCCACTGTCACAGACATGCTGCTCCACTCCAAGCCTTTAGTTCCTAGCTCATCATTCATCCTGCCATCCCACAGAGAGTCCATACCTAACCCTCCCCGTGGATTTCCTCTTGGCAAGTGCCCTGCCCCACCTGCCTTTTCCTCCCTTTTGCTAGAACTACAGAGACTCATGGGAGAGCCACATTCCTCACTGCCAGCATCCAATAAGCTTTGCTTATTGGCCCTCAACAGAAAAGGAAGATGGCCTGTGAAGGGCAGAGAGAGAGAGAGAAAGAGAAAGAAAGAGAACAAAAAGAGAGAAAGCTCTTAATCAAATGTAGATATCAAGAATATGAGCAATGGGACTAGAGAAAATTGCTATCAAAGTAAATTGCTTTTTTCGTACAAATGCTCCCTTTATTTGAGTTTTCCCCAGTGTACCATTCTTTCTTGAAGGCTTGGTGAACAGATGCGCTTTTGAAAAAGTTGATTAACTTATCCTTTTCTCGACCCCTTCCCACTCACCCAAACCCCTGGGAGCAGCGATTACACATAAAGCAAAGTCAATCCCTGAAGTGTTCTTCCTCACCTTAAGTGGCCTTTGATTCTTAAAGTGAGAAATCTCAGCTGCATTGTAGCAGTTGTGTCTACAGAAATGATGAAACGGGCCAATCCTTGGGAAGTTCTCTTATTCAGTGATATGATCTCTTGGAATTAGATCTTCTCCAAGTGAGTACCATCATTTTTCCTCCAAGTTCAACGCCACCTCCACCTCCTTCCAGCCTGAGGTTATGAGACGGAGCAAGGTACCTTTCTAGTCTCCAAGAATTTATCATGTCCCTGGCAAAGACCAAATCCCTAAAAGCAAGAACAAAATTTGGCTCAAAAGTCACTGGCAGGAGCCCCACACTTCTTGTCCTCGTCTGATTCATGTATTCTTATCCAGTGTTCTCTGTATCTTTTATCTGTGAAGATATTGAGACATTAGAACACCCATCAAAACAATTGTGAGAAAGGTGATGGTTTTCTGCCGTGTGCTTTAAAAAAATAGAACTTCTGTATTGACTTTCGCAAGCTCACTTCCATCCCTGTGACAGACACCACCTGCCTCTTGTTGAAGGGTGTTCATATCTTCATTCCAAGGGAACAGCCTGCTTTGTGGGGGCCAGGAGAATAATGCAGGAGATGGGCATTGCGGTGGTAAAGATGGAATGCCCTGCAGGTGCCAGTTGCTGTGCTCTAAACATTCCAGGATGGGCTGGATTTATGGAGGATTGGTGCCACATGGCATTGATCCTTTCAAGTGGGTCCTTGGCAGGTTGTGCCGCATATCCCTTACTGGAGACCAAGAGGATGCGAACGTGCTTTGGGCACTCTGGCCAGGCATGAAGAAGACTTCTATTACGATTCAAACCACTACTTCCAGAGCAAGACTGGCTTTCAAGGGTGACAGTGATAAATCAATCTCAGTTTAGCTCATGGTCAAGTGGATCTTCCCCTAGGTGTAGTGCTGATGAGCAAGCAAGACATAGACATTCGGGATGGATTGAAAGACTTTGTTTCCTCTTGTCTGATACTTTTGCTGATGAAGATTTTGAGCCATGTTCAATTGCTTCTCTGACTTCAGTTTGACCCGCACAGGCTACATACTTGGGCCATTTTGAGTTGGAAAGACATAATTAGCTCCAAAGATAGGAAGAAATGATAAGTCCCTGCTCATTTTGATATATGTTTGGTTTTAAATGGCTTACCTTTTAGACAGGTACTTTTGATTGGCTCTGATTTCTATAAGATGAACAGTATCATGAATGGAAAGAACAGTGTCACCACTCCCTCAAAAAAAAATCCTAAAAAATAAAAAGAAGGAAAAGGAGCACAGTGATGATTCTAGGGGAAAATTCAGAGTAAATTAACTTAGTTTTATTCAAGCCTGGGTTAGTTAGATTAGATGAGCAGGGCTGATCTATTCTGAACTGTGAAGAGAGCCAACAGGAAAAATAGCCTGGGGAAGAAAGATGAGAGGCACTAGCCCCAATGTGTGAAGGTAGCCAGGCATTATGACATTCTTTTCCAGTCCTACTCCTAGATCAAAAAGAAAGTAATGGTAATATGTTTATTTGAAATCCAAAGGAGAAAGACTCTGGTGCTTTGTGTCCACTTAGAAACATGCATGTGAGGAGGCGTAGTCTGCTGTGCTATGTAAATGTCAGCAAAATGGTGATTGATGATGCCTGTAAAATGCCATTGAAGTTGCTTTCGATAAAACTCAAACTCCACTGGTAGTGAATGACCACCATTCCTTTTGTTAATGTGTAGCTTCTTTAATTAATTTATTTAATTTTATTGTCAAGGTGATGTACAGAGGGGTTACAGTTACATACATGAGGTAGTGAGTATGTTTCTTGTCGAACTTGTTACCCTCCCCCCTCATTTTTATCCCACTTTCCCTTCCCCCAACTGCCCCTCCCCTGAAGTTGTGCAGTTCATTTCCAACATATTGCCTTGTGAGTATTGCTGTTGCGTTGATTTGCCCTTTGTCATTTGTCTCACCGTTTTGTTGTGCCCCTTCCCTTCTCTAATTCAGATAAATGTACATATAATACACAGGGAAACAAAATCAAATACAGTGACAACAGGGGATAAACCATATGGAAAAAAACACAAAAGAAAAAAGAAATTACATAGAACGTTAAAAACAACAACAATAACTCGAGAAACAAAGCACTTCCACTCAGTTTGTCATATCGCTAAATGACTCCGTGTTCTTGAGTACATAAATGGTATATATATGCACAACTGAGGGAAGCTAGGAAGAAGACACAGAATCAGAGGGAAACGGGGAAACATAAAACAGAGGGGCCCATCAGCTACAATGGGCATAGATGAAAATGAACTAAGCAACTCAAAAGCAGTAATGGGAGGGAAGGAATGAGAGGGAAAGAGGGAACAGCTTTCATAAGGAAAGAAAACAAAAGGAAAGAAATGTACATATCACCTGATGTGGAAGAAAGAGTTGTACTGTCAAAGCTCATAGAATTCACAAACTTTATAGACCATGATAATGACAATTTGCCTTGTGAAGGTTAAAATGTGTTTGTGACTTTAAGTAAGTATCACTATTCCGCAATACTGTGAAATGTGTGAAATTTATGTAATCACCTAATCTCAATTAAAAAAAGAAAAAGAAAAAAAACAACAAAGAAAAACCTTGTTTCCATGTCTTGGAGTTCACTTCACTTAGTTTCATCTTATATATGACCACCATTCTTTTTTTTTTTTTTTGGGGGGGGGGGGTGTCCAGTCGTGGGGCCTGAACTCTGGGCCTGGGCGCTGTCCTTCAGCTCTTCAACTCAGGGCTAGCACTCTACCACTTGAGCTATAGCACCACTTCTGGCTTTTTTCTTTTTATGTGGTGCTGGGGAATCGAACCCAGGGCCTCATGCATGCAAGGCAAGCGTTCTACCACTGACTTGGCACTGAAGACCTGACCTTTTTAAAAAAATTATTATTATTATTTTGTTGTTGTTGTTATTATTATTATTACTATCTTCAAATAGTTGTACAAAGGGGTTTCAATTCAACATGTCAGTTTGGGAGTACAGTACATCTTGATCAATGCCACCTCTTCCATCATTCTGACCTTTGTTAATATTTCTGGTTTTCAGGTTATCATTGAAAGTAAAGACAGATTATTTGCAGGAGAAACAATCCAGTAAATACTAAATGATCTAGAAGTAGATGTGGTTTTGTAGCTTCCTGCCAGAATGGGAAATTCATCTCAAAAAAGATTGAGTCTTTGCTTTTTGGTTGTGGTGACAGAGCTTGTTATAACTTGGTTTGTTTTTTTCATTATAGTGGACATCCCAGAAATACATGGGGGAGAAGGCTATGAAGATGAAATTGATGGTGAGTATTGCTATATGATTTTAGCAGATAATCATGCAGTTGAACTTTGGTAATAAAGACATGAGTAATAGTCATTCCTACACTATTGAAGGTCCAAAATTTAGAACAGTCAGTCAGAAATATAAGTGAACAAGAGTGCAGAAAAGAATGAAGATTGCTTTGTCAAGGTCAAACTTAGAGATTTAGCACATGTATTGAGTTCCCTCTACCTAATCTGAAACAGGCTACTTTCCATATCGATGGACTTCAAATTTGGATAAACCCTTTAGAAATGAAAAGGAAGCTCATCAATACCTGTCACTGCTGGAACTTTCTGACTTCCTCCTTTTTAAAAAGGGCCAGAGTGAATGATGGTGACCGCAAATACTCTCCCAGGCCTGTGGAGGGGTCCAGTTTCATTGGTTAGGGGCAGAGAGACGTTTGTTGTAATCATCCAGGACTCCAAATATTCAATGCGAAAGACTTAGGGGTCTGTTTATGCTACTGCCCACCTTCTGCTTCCGTATTTATTCCATGCCCTATTTTTGCACATCCACTGACAAACTTCAAGAGGGCGAAGAGAGAGTCCTAACCAGAAGGCTACAAAAACAAATGTGCAGATGCAGCTTCTCCCTTCTCAAGTCAGAAAAGCACAGGGCGCTTAAGGGCACTCTGAGTAACCAAGCTGGTCTCCATGAGACCCAACAGCAAGATTCCACTACAAGAACAACTTCAGACCAAGATTGATGCATTTAAGAAGAGCAGTTTATAGAGCAGCTGCTTTTAACCTGACCTTAATCAAAAGTTGCAAGTGTAGTTATAGAAACCGGAGTGACAAACCCAAACAGCACCTTGTTAACTGGATGCAGGCTCTTCCTGCAAAACCCAGTCCAGCTCTCCTTTTATGGGCAAAAGTGCATGGCTGACCTACATGGGGAACCTGCAGTAGACCAAGTGGGCAAAAGTTTGGAAGTGGAAGGAACAAGGGATGAGGATGCAGAGAGCCTGGCTCTTATGCCTGCTTTGACTGCTTGCTGACTGGGTGCGAGGGTGATATACCTGGCCACTCTTCTTTCTTCATGGAATACTTCAGAAGTCTAAGAGTTCTAAACTTGGCCATGCCTTGGACTTACACTCTAGAAATATAAGGCTGTTCATTTTCTAGAGATGCCAATGAGAGTACCACAAACTAGTTACCTTCAACAACACCAATTTATATCCTCACAGTTCTGAAAAATCAAGATCAAGGTATGGACAAGGTTGGTTCCTTCCAAGAAGTGTGAAGAAAGTCAATGTCTCTCTGCTCTCTCTCTGTCTCTCTCTCTCTTTTTCTCATATAGATGGTCATTTTTATGTCCACATGGTATTCTCCCATGCATGCCCATGCCTAAATTCCTCTTTCCATAAGGACAATAGTCATATTGGACTGAAGCCTAACCAAATAGAATCATGTTAACTTAGTTACCTCTGTAAAGATCCTATCTCTAAGTAAGATCACATCCTAAAGTACTAGGGATTTGAACTTCAACAGGAATGGGCTGGGGTTGCAATTTAAGCTATGCATACTAAGGGAGTTCTGGTGGTTGGGGAAAATATGCTTATATGGCCAGGAATGCAAAAGTGGGAAAGCTCATTATGTAAAAATAATCCAGCCTGTTCTTTGATTTAACTTGAAGCAGTTAGAAGTGAGTGATGTGGTGGCAAAGATAAATGGATTCCTAGAACATAAGGCCATCCTATGAGGTACCCTTAAAGCCCTGTGAAGATCCAGGGCCTAAGGGTATAGCTCAGTGGTAGCACAACTGCCTAGAATATATAAGGTTTGGTCCCAAGCACAGGAAGGAAGGAAGGAAGGAAGGAAGGGAGGGAGGGAGGGAGGAAGGAAGGGAGGGAAGGAGGGAGGGAGGGAAGGATATTTAAAATCTGAACCTATTTCATGTTAGTCAGGGTATTTAAACATCAAATATTTAGACAGTGCTTACTACGTGTCACATACCAAGCACTTCATAAATATTACTTCCCTTAATCTTTCTAACATTCCAATCCATTGTGCTACTGTTCACATTTTTCCAGCTAAAGAACAGAGGAGAGAGGTTAAAAAGCTTATACAAAATGGCACAGGGAGGACACGGCTTTGAACTCAGGTTCCCAAGTTACTATTACTTACTACTGTGCTCCGAAGAGCTCGGGATGGACAGGTTTCCGTTATGTCACCCTGAAAACAACTTCATGTGTTTTGTACCATAGATGATTATGAGGTGGACTGGAGCAACTCTTCTTCGCCCACCTCAGGAGCTGGTTCCCCCTCGGCTGACAAAGAAAAGAGTTGGCTGTATACACTCGATCCCATCCTCATCACCATCATCGCCATGAGCGCACTGGGCGTCCTCCTGGGAGCCACCTGTGCAGGGCTCCTGCTCTACTGCACCTGTTCCTACTCGGGCCTCAGCTCCCGAAGCTGCACCACACTAGAGAACTATAACTTCGAGCTGTATGACGGCCTCAAGCACAAGGTCAAGATGAACCACCAGAAGTGCTGCTCGGAGGCATGACAGATTGCACCTGAATCACACCTGACATTTCATTCCAGTGAGAGGGGCTGGTGAAGATTACATTCCCCCCCCCCCTTTGGAAACTGAATGCCATAATCTTGATCAAACCGATCCAGAATACCGAAGGTATGGACAGGAAAGACAGGAGAGTCTAGGGAGGAAAGGAGATGCGGCCAAGATGGATGGGAACTGTCACTCAACTAGGACTGCAGTGGCCAAGTCTTTGCAGAAAGGGGACCAGGTTTTCTGCTGGGACAAAGACAGGAGCTCATCTCTTTGGAGTCACAGTTCTATTTTGTTTGTGAGTTTATTATTATTATTATTAATTATTGTTATGATATTTCTTTGGTCTGTGAGCAACTCAGAGGTAGAAGAGAATGACTTCCCACAGAAAAAGAACAGGAATTAGAATTCTCCATTTTCTCTCTCTAATCAACACTTGAAAAGCAAGGGGTCTTTTCAGCCTTTCCATCTTCAGAAATAAATCTGAAATAAAGCAAAACTCCAGGCCACCCACTTGTCCCATCCATCCTCTGATGGTCTCACAACTTGAGGAGTTCGCTGTGGTGGGTGTAGTTTCTTCCAAGCCAACCCTACAAGCTGCCGTTTCCAGTCCTAGTCTTGAAGTAGGATGTTGTTGCCTTTAACTTTTTTTATCCAGGGGAAAAATTGCCATTTCGAGGGTCAGCTTAAACAGCTCTTTCTTATATACCATTTAAAACAAACCGAAAAGGAAACTTCACCTGTCAAAATCCATAGATACACTTCCATGTTAGAAGCAGACTAGCCTTAAAATGCTTTATGAATAGGAGCCATTCCTTGATCTCGAGTTCTAGACCCAGAGTTTGTGGCTGTGGGGTCTCCTTTGTAGAGTCTCTGCTGGTGGTTTTTGCCTTTTCTTTTCTCTTTTCCTTATGCTTCTTAAACATATACATAGTCACACATGTGTACAGCACATACACACGTGCATGCATGCACACGCGCGCACACACACATTTTTCAGATTTCTAAGTGCCAGGAAATAGTACCCTTGGATAGTCTCAGAGGCAAGGTAGAAAGAGACAGGTTCTTGGCAATTTTCCTCCATCAGTGAGATGTGGTAAGCACTGACCATAGAATAGAAGGGAGAACAGGGAAGAGATGCTCAGCTTCTATGATCATCTGATGGGAAAGGCTGAGCAGTGGGTGCAGTCTGACTCTAACCAGAGGTCTGCAAACACAGTGAATGACCCCACACTGCTTCAACACCAGAGACTGAGACTCCCATACACCCTTGTGTGTGTACACATGCATATACATCCATCCACCAATTTATGTGTTTTTTATTAAGTGCCTTGGAAAAAAATGAAGGGAAAAAAGAACAATGTATTTTCCCTCTTTGTAGAAATCATCAATAGCTTACAAGTTAAGGCATTCCTCCTTCCCTAATCCCAGTGGCTCCATTCCTGGTACCCAACTCTCCACTGGCCCTACTAATGGAATGAGCTGTGCTACTTCAGGGTGGTACAGCCCTAGATGCCTCTCAACGACTCCTGAAATGGAGGCATCAGGAAGAGAATGGAACTATATGAAGGATAAGATTGTCCACATCAAGATCCCAATCTCGACTTTGTATTAATGCCTAAGGATTGCCTGCGTGCTGGAAACATGTTTTAAATCCACCCAGTATACCCAGCCAACTGGCACAACCATGCTAAACTGTCAGGCCAATGTTGCTGCTATGATCATCTACAATTTTCATTTGTTTTCTACCCAGGTGAAAGGGGTAGGGTGAATGGGACTGGCTGGTTCCTTTAATTTCTGAAAATGCTAGTTCCAATGGTAATGTCACAATGTTTTTTGTGTGCAGAGAAGGAGCATTCATACTGGCGGCTCTGTATTCATGTGTATGTGTGTGTGTCTTTGCGCGCCTTTGAGTTCTCTGTATCTACTGTGTTTGTGAGTGGTCACGTGGGACTTCGTGGTGGTGTTGTGACTTTGACCTAGGGGGGCTCTCCCCTCTTCCCCCCAAGTGAAGCTGCTGCTCTTGGCACTTGTTGGCACAGTGGTAGTTAGAGGTGAAAAAGCTATCCAGCCCTAAGCACTTAGTGATAGATAGCCCTCTGGTTTGGGCATGCAGTAGAAGCAACTTTTTTTATTAGTTCACCCTCCTCTTCACTCTCCCATGCAGCTCAGTGTTCAGTAAACTGGGAAGTCCTTGGGATTCCCCAAAGTAGCTCACAGAAGAAGTTCAAAAGCCCACTCAGAGGAGAGGGTTACAGTCCTAGCCCACACATGCCCAGTGAGCCATTTGATGATAGTCCCCCCCAAAGACCAGGCCCATCTCAGGCCTGTGATTCACCTCTAAGTTTATGTACAACTCAATCTTCATCTGTCTAAAACTCTTACATTCATATTTACCATTGGCTGATTTGAGACCTGAGGGGAGCCCTGAGGGCTAAACAGAAGCAGGGTCCCCAGGGCTCCATGTAGATACCTCACCAAGACTAGAGGCTTGTGGAAGACCTGAAGAAAGACAGCTGGGTCTGATTCTAACTCGGCCAGGGGATACCTTTGGTCCATTTGTTATCTTTATCTGCAGGTGGGCCAGCTGACCTGTCTGCTTGTTCCCTTTGGGAAACCCAACTCACAGTATTGATCTCCTTTTTGCCTTGTACTGAATGACACATTACCTCCACGCTCTCCCGGATGAGGCCGGCCACAGGGTTGCTTTCTCTCTCTGGCGGGAATGGGGAGTTGACAGACATGAGGATCCACTGAATGAGCATGAATGACAAGAAAACAAGGGGAAAGTTACACTGTCATGCAGAAGGTTAACTTTTCCAAGGTTGGCAGTTAAAAGGTATTTGACCATTTGCTGGCTGAGCCAGATCATGGGAACTTGAGAGCTTTTACTGTGATTCTTCGATGTAAAATAAAATAAAATAAAATAAACAATGTCAAACTGTGTTTATATAATTTGTATAAAGCCTTTTTAAAATTACTATTTAAATAAACATTATACCAGAACTATTTTCCTGCATTTGTCTTTACTGGACACAAAGAAACTTGGGACTCAAGTGACCGAATTGTCCCAGTGTTTTTCCGAGGAAATACCTTGTCTGTGTCAACTTGGGCTGCAATGGCAGAATAGCATAGACTGTGCAGTTTAAACACTTAGCGCTTTCAGTTCTAGAGGCTTGGAAAGTCCATAATCAAAGCCCAAGTAGAATAGGTATCTGATGCAGTCTGTCTTCCTAGCTAGTTGATAGCTGCCTCCTCCATGTGTGTTAGTGTGTGTTGAGCAGCCTCTCTGTGGAGATAGCAGTCTTCCCCTAAGGGCACCAAACCCAACAAGGGGATTCTATCCTTGCAACCTAATCTAAATCTAACTGCTTCCCCAAGGCCCATCCCCTAATACCATCACAGTGGAAATGGGGAGGTAAAGATGTACATGTCCTTCAATTCTGGGAAAACCAAGATGGCCAATCACTCTCTTGAGGCAGTATTTCACAATACTGGAGTCAATAGTTGGAATGGCTGGCTCCTATTTTATGAAATGAAAACATTAAGGAGATAAGTGATGAGCCATCTAGCCAGGTGGACTACGATAATTCCAAGTCTTACCTGCTGGGCTTGAGAGGCTGCAATCCTTATTAACACCCCCTTCCTCTGAGCCTAACCGGGCTGCGCACCTTTGCTGATTCCCTGCTGATGAAACTCTCACTGTCAACATCTCTGGTGATTCCAACATCTATGTAGTGCATCTCAAAGTGTGATCCTAGACTAGGAACATTAGCATCCTTTGGAACTTGGGCTCTATCCTTGGTAATTTGGGAACTGGGCCTAAGGATTTGCATTTCAACAAGCCCACTAGGGAATTCTGCTGTACTTTCAAGCTTAAGAAACACTGGTCTACCAGGTGAGGTGGCTCACCCCCATGATGCTAGCTTGGGAGGCAGAGATCAGAAGTACTGAGGTTCAAAACTCAGCCCAGGAAAAATTCTTTCAAGATCTCATTTCAACCAATAAAAAGCTAGGCACAGTGGTGCCTACATGTCATCACAGCTATGTGGAAAGTATCACTAGGAGGTCTGTGGCCTATACTAGCCTGGGCATAAATGCATGACCTTACTCAAAACACAATGAACACATTGTACTCAAAAACTATCATGTATAACTACTTAGAGATAATAAAAATATAATTTAAAAATAAAACAGTGAAAGCAAAGAAACTAGAGGCATGGTTCAAGTGGTAAAGTACCTGCCTGGATAGAGTAAGGCCCCAAATTAGAACCCTAGTACCATCAAGAACAGACAGAAGGAAGGAAAAGAGAGAGAAAGAAAAAGAAGAGAAAGAAAGAAAGAAAGAGAGAGAGAGAGAAAGAAAAAAGGAAGGAAGGGAGAGAGGGAGGGAGGAAGGGGAAGGGAAAGAGGGAGGGGAAAGGAAGGAGGGAGGGAAAGGGAAGAGAAAGAAGAAGGGGTGGGAGGGAGGGAGATAGGGGAGGAGGGAGGGAGGGAAGAGGGAGAATCACTGATCTACAGAAAATGAAAACCACCCTAGCCTCACGGAGTAACTAAGTTCTTTTCATCTGTTGTTACTGGATTCAAAACAAGCCAGACTTTGGGCTATGTGTACTCTTAGCTCATACAGTTAACGTCCCAGGCAGGTGGAGGGAAAGCTTTATAATGAACCCCATCCTGTAGTAGCTATAAACTAGAGCTAAGTTTGTCCCCATTCCGAGGCTCTGTTCATCCCCAAAAGGAAATATACTCCAATCATTTATTTGAGAAATATTTTCTGAGCACTTCTCTCATTTCATACTTCTGTCAGGGTCAAAAAACAAAGAGTCAAGCATGTAAAACAAGGACAGAAAATGCAATGGCAGTATGGGTAGTTCTAATAGAAATTACCAGGATTTCTCTCTCTAAATGGGTGAAGAGGGAAGATAATATTCAAGCCAAATCTTAAAGGGACAAAGAGAAGAAGCCCAAGCAAAATGCCACAGAAAAAAAGCTTTGCAGATTGAAAGAATGCTCCTGCTGAGGAAGGGAGGCTAATGCCTTCTTAGGAACACAAAGGAGCCAACAATTCTCAAAATGGGGCGGGAGGGGGGGGGGGGGAGCAGGCTGGGGGTGGGGCGAAGCAGAGGCAGATCACACTGTACCTAAAGGCCATGATAAGGCATAAGGCGGTGCTCTTGAATCTGTGGAGTCCCTTAGCTCTCAGTCTCTCCGCAGCTCATCCCATTTCCCCACTGTTTGGCCCAGAGGGTCACCACAAACAAATCTCTGAAACTTCTGGCTTTGCTCTTCCTGTAATCTTCACGATATCACGAGTCTCTTGAGATGCCGGGTTCTAGTGTATTACCGATCCTAGCAACAAGAATAGAGGTTAAAATGAAAGCACATTTCTTCTTTGCTTTAGTTGAGCTTTGGGGTATTTTTAAAGCCTTAATAAACTAATAACATCTCCTAGTCCCCAGCCATCTAGTGTTTACATAGGTTTTTTTTTTCCTTATCTGCATCCTTCTGGAAATGTTTACCCGATCCTCAGGGGAAGTAGACCAGTTAAGTGCAATTGGAACAGGTCCATCCTTGGGGGAACAGGACCCATCTGGACCCCGGGGCCATTGCTGCCCCATTATACTGGTGGGGTGGATGGGGTGGCGGGCTGGTGAGAAGTGGAGACATTTCTTGATTCCAGTTCTCACAGGCTTCAGCATGTCATCTCAGGCTTAGCTAAATCGAACTCTTGGGGAAATCTCTCCCAGAGGACCGGGTCTGAATGCGGCCTGGCCTGTTGGGGGTCCTGGGAGCCACCTTGCTGTCCTCTTCAGGGCCTCCCAGTAACTTGAAAGCCAATTCCCATCAACAACCAAACAGGTGGGGTCCTCAGAGCCTAGTAGCCAAGCCAAGACTAACCTTTGGATTTTCCACCTCACAATTCCTGAGCCTGCCTGGCCTGCTCCTCACCCTACCTCCCAAGGCACCATGGCCTTCCTCATTCCTGAGTTTTCTCCATGACCCTGAGAGGCAGCTCTTGGCGGAAGCACACGCCTTCCCAGTGCTCCCTGGAGACCCTGGAGAGAGACCTCCAGAAAGCCATGAGCCAAATTGTTTCTGCAGCTTATCCAGAGAGGGACACCTGTTTCCTCTCCTTTTCCTGCCAGGAAAAAAAAAAAAAAAACAGAGAGAGAGAGAGATCATGCACATACGTGTGTGTGTGTGTGTGTGTTCCTGTGCCAGCAGGTTTACAAGCACTATATAAAAATGAAGCTTTTACCAGGTGTGGAGGCACATGCTTGCAATCTCAGCACTTGGGAGGCTGAGGCAGAAGAACCAAAGTTTGAGGTCAAGAGTTGGGATGTTACTGGTTCATGCCTATAATCCTATCTCAGGAGGCTGAGATCTGAAAGATGGAGTTTGGAGGCCAGCCTAAGCAGATAAGTTCTCTAGATCTATCTCCAAAGAACCAACAAGAAAGCTGGACTGGTGGCATGGCTCATATGGCAGAGCGGAAACCTAGCACATAGCAGGCCCTCAGTTCAAACCCTAGTCACACACACACACACACACACACACACACACACACACACAGGCCAGAGGAAAGAAAGTATAAACAGATGACTCACATCTAAGATCCTAAGTATTTAGGAAAATGAGACCAGAAGAGTGAGGTTCAAAGCCAGCCCAAGCAGAAAAGTTTCCAAGACTCCATCTCTATCCAATTAACCAACAAAAAGCTGGACTGAAGGCCTGGTTCAAATGATAGAGCTCCAGAAGGACAAGCAAGCTAAGTAACCACAAGGTCTTAAGTT